TGCGAAAATGCTCTAAACAGACAAAAAACATGCTATTTTCACTTTATTGTATTGATTGATTTTCTCCAAACTGAGTATGAAGGCCCCATGTTTTTTTTTTTCATTTTCTTAATCCTTAAGCAAGGTTTATAAAATATGTAACAATAAAGAAAATGACAATATTTTTTATTTGTATAGCGTTTTACTTTGAAGGACAAAACAAATCAAGTGACTCACTTGATACAACGTGATATTGGCGACCCTTTGCATGTTATGTATATTTTCAAATTGAAGACATATCCGTTCATCTAATAATTGTTGTCACAACTTTTCTCATTTATTTTGAAATACGAATCAACTTGACCCACAGTTAACCAATAGATCATTTACAATGAGAACTCTTGGTAGATAAGTACGTAAATAAAGAACTGTCGTCCCAGAATTATTGAGATATTATTACGCCAACTAATTAACACAAGTAGAGGTAACGTTGCTATGGCAACAATTTGAACACCACGCCAACACATTGTATATATGGACACTTCAAAGTTGTAAAAGCGTTGCAAGGCTGTATTTTCATTCTGCTGGATAATCGTGGATCATATAATGATTTGAAAAATGTCTGCCAGGACCGATGAGCACATGGTGTGATCGATAATTCTCACTGTTGAATTATTTTGAACGTTTGAGCATACAGATATGTGTATGGGACTCGCAAGTGACTATAACTTCCAAGGTGGCTACGGGGTTGTGCCATGGATGCGTACAGCAAGGTTCGGGGTGGGACACATTCAATCGTTATCGTACTTATTAACGGGTGAATGTCGAAGTAGACGAACCTAACAACTGGACAAATACGTATGACAGAGTGCGTATTTACTTCTATCTGTTATCGACATTGTATCACTGCTCACGTCTTCTTCTAAACAACACTGTCACCAGACTGTCGTAGGGGGGCAACAAGGTCGCGATGTAATTATTTATTTATTGGGACTTGTGCAAACTCTAGTAAGAATACGTGCGATCCCAACGGTTGGACGGTGTTAGCTATGCAAAGAATCAACAAGTAGTTCGAATATAACGCACTTGCGTAAGGTCGACTTATTCGCCGCATTTGATAACAAATGGAGATGTATATTCATACTGGGGTTAGAAGAAGAGACATCGTATGTAACAAAGACGCCTATAAAACACAACACTGCAAAAATCCGAGGATCTTGCGCATTACACACAGCATAAAAACATGCTATTAGCCCATATAATTGTTGCTGCTAAATCGGGAGATAACCTTGATTGAAGTTTAAAATTAGTTAATTATCAGCCCCGCTGATTTTCAGAATCACGTGACTCTAAAACAATGTTCACAAAATATTAATAATAGAAAAGTACAAGTCAAGGGCTTTCCAAACATATATAGATTGTATGGTTTCTTGTAAATTTTATTCCGATTATAGATGTTTGCATTTTTCATGCTAAGAAACTGCTACCATAAAACATCGTTGTTATTTTCCCCCTTTATACGTACTTGTTGAGTTCAAGCTCGTCATAGTCGCGACTTAGTTATGTTTTTTTGAAAATTTCTGATAGTCTGTGAATAAATTGGTGATTGGTGGTTTTTATTTTATTACTTTTACTTTTTATATTACTTTACGCGAATTACAGTGTGTCGGGAACTATATTTAAAAAAAAAGGTTTATATCATATTTAACATTTTCTTTTTCAAGTTGGAGGGTCATGTGTTACTATACTTCCAGAATCTATGTAAAATAATATCACGTTTATCTAAAAAAAAACACAATTGGGCTATGTCCCAAAATTTGAATTACAGGCAGAATATAGCAATAATTCTCAAAGTATTCAATGACTTTAATTAAACTATTTATCAATCTTAAAACGTTTAGCTAATCGCCACGCGTCGTAACGGGTCCCATGCAACGCGTGTAAAACATTGTTTACGTGAAATTAGAACGCTTGCTGCACGACGTCTGTGACGCTTTCAGATCCTCAGTAATATCGCATGAATGATTAAAGCATTGCTATACATAAACTCGTTAGCACAGAAAACGCAACAGTGTATAAAATAGAAGCGATGCCAATGGTTCATCAAAAAAGGCTTTTCTGCTGTTGAGGAAACTCATGGAAATTGAGACAAATACGCTCGCATTTCAAGGAAGGCGGTTCACTGTGCTTTTATCTCAACTCGTATATGAAAAGCTTCTCTTAAATTTTTAATTGAGTTTAACCCAGTTTTAATGGCAGTCATCTGGCTTCTATTGTTACCAATGTGACTAACCTCTCTACAGTAGTTATTACTGTCCAGAATTTGTAATAAATCGAGCACAAGTTATTTCGTATGGCGGAATGTCAATAGTGAGCCGTCAATGCCACTTAATATCGTGTATATATTCGCATAAAGAAACAGAAAACATTTTTTGTGTGTGTCTTGAAACGTTCTAAATTTTGAATCACATACATTGTACTCGTATACCATATAATCTGTTTACGACCCGACTCTGTTTACATTAGTCTCCATGACGACACACCAACCAGTAACGCTATATTGCAATTGTGTGGCTGAATTCACTTTAAAATAAATTACAAATCTTGGCGTCGCTCCGTTTCATTCAACGAAACTTGGATTAAATTTAACGGTAAACAAATTTTCAGCGCCGATGAGCACGTTAATTGTTGGTATTGCTTTGTTCGTATACATGATCCTACATAAGTTGGGAGTGCATGGAAGACCTTGCGTGTACTATATATACGAGACATACGCGGAGACCGCTTCTATGTCGACCAATTCTACTTCATAGCCGGAGGGATGGTTACATGGCTGTTATATGTAACACTTTTCCACTGATTTTAAAATAACATTTAACCCTACGTTTTATCGCTTTGTTCAAACGCGTCTGTGCATTTGATGTGTTTGGTTCAGGTGGGACTTCCAAAACAACAACACCGCGAAACATTTTCATGTTTTAAAAAGTATTCCTTTCTTAGATTTCGTGGACATATACCCCTTTTACTTCGAAATTCAGATTCAAATCCTTGTCCGTCCAGCTGAGTAGGGCAGTGGGCCTGACAGGGCCATTAAAAAGTATAATCGCCAAGTTTAAGTATTTATATATGAACTGAACATTAAAGAACGGATTATACGAAGTTGACGTTTCGAATGACATCTGTTACTCGATGAATTTGTAACAACAAAATTCAATCTAAAAATGCTGGGACCTAAAATTCCGATCTGTTCGAGAGCGCACTGGAGATCAAAATAGATAATATACTAAGACCACTCATTACGTGCTGTAACGTGCCTTTGTGATGAGCTGTACTTTGTTGTCATGGAGATAAGCTCAAAATAGTGTGCATTATGGCTTCATTTAAAGGAAATTTGCCGCGTCATTAAATAAATACTCCTAGTTAAAATTGGATTAGTATCCACCATGATTTATTGAATTATATTTGGTGTGTTCATGCTACTCTCTAGTATTAGCTAACATTGAGGCTAATCTCGTACCTTTCATTGCATGTCGGTTCGATCCAGTTGCGTTCACTCAGAGGAAGGGAGGGACCTACCTTTAGTACGGACTAAGGAACGCTCCAGACTTATATCTATTAATAATACACATTGTTCAGCTCTTTTTTCTTTGATTTCTTAGTACCGTAAAAATGGGGTAAACACTTATTGGTTATATACCATGCAATAAAAATGTAACACAGAAAGCACAGGTTCGAAAATAATATTTTTTTCTCTAGTTTCGCCCACGTAGATTGCTATACGTTATCATACACTAATAATCATGAAAATTGTCAAATTGACAATGAATACAGTTTGTTGTCAAAAGTCATGCCAGAGGGACCTCAGGTCCAGCTGAAGTTGTCGTTTGCACACATACTACGGTCTGGAACAGGGTTTTGCTATTGTAGTTAGCGCATGTTCTTTGACATTATGGGCGATCGGTTCTGGCCTCTTAACCCGTACTAAGAAACTGTACGCGAACGCAAGTATGAATCGTACACAAGTTAAAATAATAGTTAGCTAGCTTTTAAAATACACGTCCAGAGTAAGGGTGGAAACCAAACTACACGAGTCATACACGAAGTTCAAGTTCGGGTAAACGCATTTATATCCATTGTCCCACTTTGCCTCAGAGGTCGGCGCTTACTATGACAATCATAGCACAACATGAATGTGAATGGTAAAATTTTATAATTTCAATTTACAATTATTTTGTGAACGGATTACAAATAAAATGTAGTAAATCAATGATAATTATGTCCCGGTATAACGTAACAAAATATGACAGACATGAAACCTCTGTTTATAATTAATTTAAACTTCTGAATACAAAAAAAAAACTACCAATGAGCTTATTTAGAGTGAATAATTACTACATTATTATATTAAATAACTGTTTATATCGTACAAGATTGATTTGGTTGATATAGGGGACCGTGACCTGAAAGTGTGCCTGGAATTGGTCCGATATAACTGTACTCAATGATTAGTATTCGCTGACGATAGTTATTCATAAGAACATACCAAGCCTCAGAACGTATACAGATTAGTCACATAACTGTTAGTGGTTCTTCGCCGGGTCAATCCGACTTATTACTCAAAATAGCACCCGTAAACCGTTGCCACGGCGAATAACGATGAGTTTTGGTAGGCCGCCGAGGCGTAGCTGTCATTATCGGGACTCCATAGACACCGACTTGCCATGTTCACTCCCTGTTGGTTTACCGAGCCTAGAATGACGTGAACAATGATTTTGTGTCGACTATAGTTCAATTCTTTCACTTTTGTTTTGATGATATCTGACAGTGTCCGTGTCAGCATGCCAACCGTCGATGGCTCGTACATTTCGTCTTCGCAGTGGTTCTGCAACGCTTCCTTAATCACCTGCTCTACACGCTTCGGTTTGAATCTCTGGTCGTTGTCCGGTTGGGTCCTATAAGTGTTGTACTTCTTCTCTTTTTGAGCGTGTCTTCCCTGTATGATCGCCATCGCCATGGCATGAGAGCGAAAACCACCAGGAGCGATTGACAAGCGAGGTCCCATTCCCGGAGCCATCACGGAGGATTGCCGTCGCTGCATGCGCGATGTCCTCCGCCCCGGGCCAGACAAATCGCCGCCTGGCCCGCCAGTTCCGTCGCCGCTACCAGAAAATGTTGAAACCGAAGGTCGGCGCACAAGCATAGGTTTTATCGTGTCTTCCTGCTGCGACTCCATTTCACGTCCGATCAGTACAAGGCTGAGTGACAACCGAATCACACACACACTGACTACAGTACGCTTGGTTGGTTTGTTTACAATAAGAGACACAGCGCACTTATCAACGACGAGATCGCATTTAGGTTACGATTATGACAATCAACGTCGATGATTTGAAGCAGATATTTTTTTTATAGATCTATCCTTGAGACAAATCCCAGTTACAAGACCAAACACAGAATGCCCCTTTCAAGAGTACTCGAGAAGATGTCGTTAAGTAGTCGCAACACTTTTTACCGGAACAGTTAATGATGTGAACTTGAAGACCAACTACAAGTCGTGTGACAGTGGTCCCGGTGCGATGGACAGTTTCTGGGACCTTCTAGACCAATGTAAATTTCACGGACTTTGCGCTCTGTGCATGTTTTTTTCTCTAATAATAATAGTAATGTAATGTTTGTGGTCGCCTTCCGTTTGTATCAAATATTTTGTAAAATTACACGACAAATTCAACTACGTGACGAGTATTATTTTTACAATATTTCAATTGTTCCCGTTTAATGACGTCACAAATAGTGTTCGTTTTAGCCAACTTTGGGGGTCTTTAGCAAGTAGACATAAAACGTCTCATAGCAAAGGGAAAACGCCGCGTAAATCTCTTTCACTGCCAGCATAGACGCTTGGTAATGCAAGTATAGTAACGACGAGCACAATGAAGTGCCGGCCCCCACTAAGGTTGCTACTCTATTCTTTACCCGTGGCCACACAAACACAGGTTATCACCTTTGTGCCAGTATACTGAGTACTGTACAAAGCCCTAAGAAATCGCACCGATAATTCATCGCCGTTTTTATTATTAAACACACCGCACATGCCTGTAGAGGATCTGCGTAGCAACCTTGGTATCAGTCTATCTTTGACAGCTACTAAAATGCTGTAGCTACCGTCGTTTCACTGCAGGCATCCTTATTATTGGATATAAACGTGCCAACTCATTTTATAGTGCTCTCGCCTCGGGACGAAAAGTGTCGCGATAATTAGCGACCAGCTCACTGATATATTGTTCAAGGTTCAGCTGATGACTTCATCAAATGTACAAGTCCCAATGTAATTAAAAGATTTGTTTATAGAAAGTGATTCCGTTGGAACAGTCCGAACGGTAGAGCCACTCTTGGTAAAGGGTTTATCTATTTAGTTTAAAAAAAAACCCATTAGCGATGAAAACTTGTTACGTATTTTTCAAGTTTGTAAATAATTGACGACTCCTGTGTGAATCAAAATATGTTTACTATGATGTAGTTCCATGGTTGGACGAACGTGTTCAGAAAAACAAAGTTTTGTACATGTACTTGATTCAATGAGTCGGCAACGCAGTCTCTATTTTCTCAAGCGAGTTATAATGTATACATGCCATGAGGACCAGCTCGTCGTTTATGGACACTGCCAACAGTATAATAACTACGGTTTAACTTGAATTATTAAAAGGAAAGATTCAAATTTTACCGGTACTAGAATACACAATTTTGTATTTTACATTTAAGCGGTAACTTCGTCGCTTAAATGTCTGATTTTGGTCCCACACGACTTGTATACAAAATACACTGTTTTCGAAATGAGAGTGTGCACAGACTGCGAAACGATTGGGAATGACTGAGTTCATATATAAAGTCCAACATAAACTAACACAATACGAAAACTCTTGTGTGTTGTTTGACTGCCACAGTCGCTCCCAGCTCAGTAAACATGGCCAGTGAATAGTGTTTACCGACTAATTTGAACCAAACTATGACCACTTCAAGTTCAAAGGAGAGGTCAATACATCGTTGTCAATGTGAAGAGCTGCCGTGCTTTCGGTGGAAACCACCATGTTAGTAATTTTCACACGTCAGCACAGTTTCTGTGGTCCGCGCCATTTGAGGAAGAAGAATTCGCTTTGCATTAAACCTGATTGAACGCCAGTACGTGTTCTGTGTCAATAAGGGCGGCTCACATCAACGTGACGTAAATTAGTTAGTTGATAAACTTCTGTGAACTGTAAGACGCGTTGAAGGTAAAGTCATCGGACAATGTGAGAAAAAGTGTAAAGCCTGAGGGACTTATCTAAGTTCGGAGACAATGCTCAAAGGATGATTCAGGTCCAAAGGGGCAACAAAGGTTTTTCCTAGTCAACAATAGGGTGTACTTTATTGTTCAACGCAAACACACCCTCTCTGGCTTTGAATACGGAATTTGTTACCTATAAAACACAAATCCATTCATTTCGCATGATACACTCGAGTGGTTATTGCCGTTGATGGCGTTGCGGGGCAGCCGTAGTGTGCTGAATCAACATCACTTAACGTGTATTTTGTTATAGTTGTGTTGTTTTATTATTTATATCTTTGGAGTTAAACTAAAATATCCTATCCTATATCAGGCGCTTTGAATAGTTAAATTTAATTTCCGAAATAATTTGTCTGCTGTGTACCAGAATAGATGAATAATTTATGAAATTTACCTGTCGGTCGAGAGACATGCGCATTTCCAATTTAGAGTTCATTATCTCATTATGCCATTGTCACTTAAACATTGTAATTTACGAAAGGGTACTCGAGTTCTAGCGAAATATAAATTATAATTAATATTAAATATCAAAATGGATTTTGAACAAATTCCTGGTGATTTGTGACAAATATACATCGCCACGCGTCCGTGCACAGTGGAACGAACCATGGCATTCTTCTTTTCTCCCGAACTCGGATACCAGCATTACGATTGAAATTGTTCTTATTCCAAATCATGTTATTAATATTACGCAACTTCATGTGTATATTTGAACAAATATGTATTTTTTTAAAAATTGAATCAACAATTCTCCAGGGCTGAGACGATTCCGTACCGACACGAATGTGACTCCGTCTGTTATACGTATTGTATATGTGTTCGGCGTCTGGTCATAAGAACATGTAATACAAAATCAAATTATAATTTATACGTGAATAATTGGGTGGGAACATTGCACGTATCGTAGTGCCACTATTATGTCACATGTACATAGAAGGGGTGCCTGCCAGGGGCGTCGATTCATTCTGAAGAGTGAGGGGGACATTTTTGTGTCCGCGTAAGCGGCCAATGTCCGCGCTTGCGCGAACAGAGGGGTGTCCTTAAATCCTCCGATTGCCTAACTATCGAAGTTTTAGATCGATAATTATCGGAGAATTATTTTACCTTTTTTATGAAAGTTGTACCTCGATATTCATCAGTCGCGGAATTGCAAGGTTGCCGTTTACATCCGGTAGCACCTTTCCAACTGAAGTTTATCTACATATTAATTAAAATTATTTATTTATTTATTTATTTATTTATTTATTTATTTATTTATTTATTTATTTATTTATTTATTTATTTATTTATTTATTTATTTATTTATTTATTTATTTATTTATTTATTTATTTATTTATGCAGACACTACGGAATGCTAAATGTAGTGCCTATTCATCACTCACATAATAAATAAATAAATAAATAAATAAATAAATAAATAAAATATTGAGAAAGCATAAAAGACTTATTTTCAAATACATGAATATGTCATGACTAATTCATTTTATCATAGAGACGATTTGCCCAGAAAATGCCATTTGATGATTTTGAATAACGTATAATAAAGTTAATGAATTCATAATGTCAATAAGTAATGGATTATACGATGTTATATCCAACATAATACTTGTACGCTACACCAATACAGTTTTAATTTGATATACTATTATAACATAATGGTGTTTGTCTGAGGTATTCCTATTTAATATGTGACAGGCTATTACGTAATTATATCTTTGTATAAGGTTGATCCCATAAAATTCCCCTTTTATTTGACGCTGTGTATAATTGTTTAAAGCTAACATATTTACCCTGATTTTCGGGGGCAAAACGGCTCAGATTCTACAGCCCAAATTGACCAAATTAATTCCCATGTTTCTGTCTATTTTATGGCATGTAAATTTGACAGTCTTATCTTAATTTTAATTGTACAGTCAGTATTCTGTAACTAGACTGATCGCGCTGTACAGAGAAAACTGAAACAGCTTGCTTTGTTCTACCATGGGGAGGGGTATTTATCCAATTTTGGCTTCCGACCACTAGCGTACATATTTCCATTGAAAATATGGCACATTCTGGCCGGCTCAGAATTTATTGGATGATCGTCGAACATAAAAGTACTAAACAATGTAATTTAGGTCTCCCCGAGTACAAGTTGTCAGGGGCCCACATGAAGACTGTCAGGTACATAGTTTATTGTTGATCTCAACGTTTGGCAATAGTTAAAAAAATAAATATTTTGCGTCTGAAGCTTAATAGGATACATCGCGTCTGAGAATATTGCCGACGATGATCACTAAAACACCTCCATGAAAGCCCATGGCCAGAAGAGTGGCAAGTAAGTTATAATCCGACATAGTTTTTTTTAATGTAAAGAAATGTAACACTGTGTTACAAAAGGTGAGCGTAGAATAATATTTGAAGAAGAATAATGATATTTTTTTCTTATAGTAAAAAGATAAAAACGCAGTGAAATGTCAAAAACGTTTCTAAAATTTCGTAGGTGTCAGAATCTATTAGCATCTCAACATAGGGAATATAGGGATGTCGGAATATAGGGGTGTCGGAATATAGGGATGTTGGAATATAGGGGTGTCGGAATATAGGGATGTCGGAATATAGGGATGTCGGAATATAGGAATGTCGGAATATAGGAATGTCGGAACATAGGGTTGTCGGAATATAGGAATGTCGGAACATAGGGGTGTCGGAATATAGGGATGTCGGAACACAGGGGTGTCGGAATATAGATGTGTAACCCAGGGGAGGGGTGTGCCCCCCTCAGAAGGTAGACATTTTTGAAAAATGCAACCAAAATGAAGTCATTTGGTGCATACTTGGGGATTTTCATTCTTGATCATTAAGAATACAGTACATGTACACAGAACCAAATGCCTTACACAAACGCAGGCTTTGATATAAGCCTATTATTGATATTTGGGTAAGTCTGGAAAGTGGAGGGGACAGTTGATATTGTGTCCCCCACTCTTCAGAAAGTGGGGGGGGGGAACGTGTCCTCCGTCCCCCTATGATCGACGCCC